TGCATCTTTACATGTGAACTTCACATGCACAGGCTCCAAAAGAAAGTCCTGCTTGATGTTTAGGTCTCAAGTGTGAAATCAACATCATACTGATGAAGATAAGATGACCATAGTAGATAACTCACCTACATCCTCAAAGGACGCGTCATTCACCACGTTTTAACTGAGTTCTCTTTGAATACTCTTTTAATGCTCTTGCAAAACATCATGTTCAACTGCTTGCAGGAGTCCAAAGCACAATCGACATTACAAAACGTTCTTCCACATGTTGCATGCAGTTACACATTTCTGTGAGGAAGATCTCCAAATCCCCAAATCTTACATACTTTGACACAGCTGCAATAAATATAAATAAACAATACATTATGTTTTGATGTGTGTGAGAGTGTTAGTGTAAACATTTCAAAGCTCTCCTAAAGACCAGTATTTACAGTTACCATCAGTGCCTAGTTTATTTAATCAGTCTTTCATTAAACTACATCAAACGTGCTGCTAAGGGAACTGAACAAATCCATGCAATGGCTGGAGTGCACCAAGAAGACAGGAATCTCATGTTCATCTAACCAAGATCCATTCAGGGTATTTGGCGATGTCACCTTTAACTTGGTTTAAATCTGTTACCAGAGGAGTTATGGTGTGTGCACGTCCACGTTGGGCAGAGTAAACTGCTTCAGCATGTAGAATCACAGCTTTGTGTGTGCTTATGTGTTTTCTGCCACTGTATAAAAGATGTATTTTCATATACATTGCGATACTATATATAAATATAATATAATATAATTCTATAATGTAAATAAATGGGCTCAAACTTTTCTTATGTCTGTCAATAACTGTAATTCTAACTGTAACTGTGGTTAAACTGGTTAAAAATAACAAAAATGTCAGAAAGCGTAACCTCTAGGGAGCTGTCTTAGCTTGCAAGCTGGCTGGCTGATCAGCTTTCACAGCAACATAGAGACATCTTTTCCAATCAGATGTTTAAAGATGTTGATTAAAACATGTATTTGAGACAAAAGAAACTCCAATTCATGTTGCTGGTTTCCTAACAAAATGCACTTGACGTGTTTATCAGTTCTGACAAACCTGATGCTTGATCTGTCAGCACGGCTATGAACTGACAGATCAAGCATTGGGAAGACATTTTCTAAATGCACACGAATCCTTGATTATTTTGTACATCACCAGGTGTCTGTGATTTCTAGTAAATATGACGTCTCTGAAGGCTGATTCCACAGAAGCATGCTCAATGCTTGATCAAGGCAGTGCCAAAAAATCCAAGCAAGTGTGTGTGTTCGCACCTTGAACACGTTTGAAGAGTTGACCCACAGCAGGGCCTATTTCTAGGTACAGATGGCAGAGGTTTGTCTCTCATATCTCATAATAGGTCCTGACCTTGAGCCAGTTTTAAGAGACCTTTCCCTTCATAGTGTCTGTATGCACACAGAGTTCTCTTCACACCTGCTGAAGATCAGGGGCTCTGTTCACTGTGTGATTTGTTCCATGGCTGTTCAATCAGTGACGCAGCTCTCAGTGCAGATCAATAATAATCAGATCATGGAGGAACTCTTTGGGTGTGACTCTCTGTGAAGCACTTCATCAGTCACACTGTTGTAATAAAATACAAACGTTTAATGTAAATAGCATTATCTGCAATTAAGAGGTCCAAACTAGCATTTTAAATCATTAACCAAAAAATCAGTTTCCTATTTTTATGACAATGAGTCAAGCATTATAAAGCAGTAAGCCATGAGAGGCCATGCGTTACTGCGATTTTATCATGGGGAAGGGTGACTAAAACTCCCTTTTCCATGATAAAATCACAGTAACACAAGACCTCAAGTGGCTTATTGCTTTTATAAAACAGCGGCCAACATAAAATATGATAAAATACACATTTTTTCAGGAAATAATTTGTTATTATTAGTAATAAGCAACATAAACGAGTATTACACCAGGAAGTGTAGTTCCTTTAGAGTATGCTATCAATTCCAAGCAACCATGGACTGCTGAATGCAGAGAAATCATTAGGTCACCTATCAGTGTATATTGCGGTCATTTCATGAACTTTTAAATTTTTTGTTATGTAATAACAAACATATGGTAACACGGCACTGTTAAATGCAAAAATCATTGCTTTGTAAGTACTTTTTGCTCACCAAATTATCAATGCGAGTCTTATGAAGCACCAGTCCAGTGGTGCCTCTCTTCTCATGCTGGGCTGAATCTCAAATAGCACCCTGCTTCCTGCATAGTTCCCTACTTAGGAATTTAACTTCTGGTTCCTGTTCCCCAATAGTGCATAATATAGTTAAAAATAAGTCAGTAAAAATAGTCATTGGGGATTCTGTCACATCCATACTCAACAAATAGTGCATTTGGCTATAGAAGCTAGAATTTCCAAACCTTCATAGCTAGCACACTATTTAGGGAGTATGTATGACGTTTGGGATTCGGCCTGAGTGTGAAGCACATTCTGACTGAAACTCGAACATTTGAAGCGTGTAAGTCATTCAGGTGACATGCTGTAGAATTTTATATTGCAGTCAGTCATACCCTAAGTATTTTATTTCAAGCCTGTGATACTATGATAAAGTTGTTTAGGTTGTTATCTATCTTTTAGCCTGTTAGCTTGCTGACCAGCGTAGTTCTAGTTAAGAAAAAAAGTTGTCAGCCACTCAGTTACTTACTTCATCAATACACTCGGTGGTCCAGGTGAGCAGCATTAGAGTCAAAGATTATTCCATTAACAGGACAAGGATTTTTCATGATGTGGTGCAGTAATGCAGAGCTCAGTTGCTGTAAGGTGGTCATAGGTGTGTGTATCGTGTATTTTACAACAGCTTCGAATGCGGCTCAGCTAATCAGATTATTTTTATCTGTTTTATAATTATGCATTTTGGTACAGGTGTAGCAGCAGCAGCATTCAAGTACAACACAAGTGCACTTACCTGCTTCATGTTATTTACCCCATGAAGTAACTGCACAGACTGTCCAAAATAAAGGGGAGTTGGCTGATTTCCAATTTAATCTTCTGACCTTGCATTTCTAGTTTGAATTTGATGAAGTTACTGTGCAGAGTTGTTTGTGCAGAAATAAAAAAAAATCCCTTACATTTTGCCAGGAATTTGTCAATTCTTGACACTGAAACAAAATGATACAAAAAAGTCTGGAAGTGTTCACTCAAATCTGCTGATAGAGAATATAAATCAAATCTAGTAAACAAAAGTAGTAACTCTAGTCTTAGGGTTAAACACTTGACACACCATGGGATTTCAGTACTCAGCCATTTCATTTACTGCTAGACTGTATTGTACAGTATTGGCTGTTTATCAAGACAAGGTCATCTGCATGGTCCTCTTCCATTCCGGGGTTACTACTGCTGCGTTACTGCCACTGAAGCTGAGCATGGTTGAAGGTTCAGGACTTTAGTGTTCTTTAGATGATTGCCATCTGAATCATGGCTGACCCAAGGTGAGCTGGAGAGCTGTTGGTCCTATGTGGAGGGCCTTGAAGCAAAATTGGTACACCTTTTATACTGCAGCTGAATGAAAATTGGAGACAATGTCAAAATATAAGTACATGGCATACAAATCCCTGAGTTCTCCTAGCTCTTAAGGTTGCTTCCTGCTAGTGGCAAACAATAAATCTGACATTTCAGTTAACACACCAGGTCACACTGATAAAAAGAAGTAGGTAAATTGATAAAAAGAATTACAAAACCCTGTACCTTTTTGGAGTCGTGTTTTAATACAGAACAAGCCTTTATTTTCTTTTTTTGAAAAGTTTATGTAAGGCAGACATTAAGGAATGTCTGCAGCATAACTGCTGAGTCCAGGATTTTGAGGAAATGTGAGAGATCCATTGTATGCTGCCAGTCATCAATAAAAGCCTTAGGAACTAGCATAGGCCTCATTGTACTAGTAATGACAGTCATTAATTTGAGCTGCGTGATGTGACCACCCTCCGACTCACATTTTTTTTCTCATTTTAAAAGAAATATTTTTGGTTTCTTATTGTACCAGCATAGCTGTTAAGTTCCTCATCAAGGTTTCATTCATTTAAGGTTTCTTTCAGAAAATCTTACTTTTTTAAGGGTAGCTGGAGTCCTGCAGTCAGGGCTAAAATCTGCTTTGGTTATCCTTTTAAAATATAACATCACAATCCTTTTGTGACATTTTGAATCAGAATACATACAGGATGAATGAACAGCAAGAACAGACTTTCTTCTTTTCTCTTCCAATTTTACTTTTTGTTTATCTATGTTTTCTAGGTATTCTAAGTGTTAACATCTTTTCTGCTTCTCATCGGTGGGGAATGAAAACTTTTAGAGCTAGGTCTTCTGTTCAGGCCACACATGCTTAAAAAATATGAGGAAGACACCCACATCTACTCCTGTGAAATTTCTAATAGTATGTAAGCACTAAGCTAATGGCTATTCTAGATTACACAAGGACAACTGAAGCTTGAAAACACACCGCATATGTTTTATTTGACATTTGCAACTAACATTGATGTTTCTAGAGTTTCCAGAAGGCCTAGAGTGACGTTTCTTCTCCCAGAATTGTTCCTACCCATTGGAAATCATTGTCATTAGTTAAATCCTCTGTCACTTCCTAAATATATTGGTAGTTAATCACAATCAGCTGCTAAAGGCCTAACCAGTGGCACAGCTCTGCTGACTGTGACTACTTGGATACCTAGGAAACTAACCTGATTGGATAATTTTTCATCAGGGGTTTCAAGAATTTAGCCCTTTTGTTTTCAAACAAGACTAAACAATGAACAAACTGAGTAATACTACAATACTTGCAATGGCAGACATTTATTTTTTGGTCCCCAGAAATCATTAGGCCTTCTCTGAAGGCCCAGAAGGCTGTGAAAGTTCTCCTCTACTTGTAATGCTATTAATGCTTCAGATGTGTATATAAATTCTGATGTATGCTGAAAAATGAGTTTATGATAACCTTTTTCCTTTTTTCCCATCTGTCCCTCCCTTACAGCCCCTGCGAATGCGCAGATCGTGCATGCCGGACAGGCCTGTGTGGTTAAGGAAGATAATATCAGTGAAAGGATCTACACAATTCGTGAGGGAGATACGCTTGTGCTACAGTGCCTGGTCAAGGGACATCCACGGCCACAGGTACACACACACCCCCATGCAATTGTGTGCATGGATTGATTTGAAATTTCTATATAATATGCCTCCTTCACTGTAACACACTCATGCATTGAAAAGAGAGAGCTCTTTCATTATGCATTTTCATTCCTAAGAAACTTGTACCTTGTGAAATCTTCCATGAAAAGATTTAAATGCCAATAGAATTCACATTATGTTCATACTGGAGCAATAACTCTGGCAATATACCCATACCCACTTATAACAGCCCTGCACATAGAAGACACTGTCATGCTGCTGAAGCTTTTTCAATGACAGGCTTCAGGCGCAACAGCCTGTGACCTTGTTCATAGAACAGTGCACCAATGTCTTATACACACACAGTGAGGGAGACAGTGTCACTCAGAGAGGATCTGCAGATGTTTTTGCGTTGTATAGGGATGCGTGACATAACGACAGCCAGTATTCTGTTGTTAGCAGTCCAGTATTGGACTTAATAGCCAATATTTGCAAGGGATAATTTAGCTTATCCAGAAAGTACTGTGCAAAAGTCAGAGACCACCTTTCATTTATGGAATTTCCAGTCAAAATGGCCATTATAGTAAGTGAAAAAAGAGTTTCCAAACTAGAGTTGACATAGCTATTAAAATGTACAGACAAACCATACAAGACCTGGTAGACCACCAAAACTGGCCCCATCAGATAAACAGTACTTAAAGCTTTCATCTTTGTGAGAGAGAGGAGAAAATCTCTACCTTTGCTTCAGAATCCACAGGTGTTTCTGTCCATCCCTCCGCTGTGAGAAGACTCAGCACTATGAGTCTGAAAGGATGTGTAGCTGTTAATGAGCCGTTACTGAGAAAAGAACATTTGGAAAGAAGCTGCTGGTGTTCTCAGAATAATGGACTGACCACTCCAGGGTCCAGACCCTCAGTGTCACTAAATGTGTTTGGAATGACTTAAATCATGAGAAGCAGAAAAAAACAACCAACTACAAAGACTGAACTTTGGAGGTGTGGAAAAATATTGCTGCAGATTTTTTCCAAAAACTGAAAGCAAGGCTCCCGAAAAGAATAGAAAGTATAATAGAGGCAAAGAGTGGACACACTAAATGCTGAAAAGGTGATATTATTTTTGGTCATTAAAGCCTTCTGTATAATATACATTTCTGCTTTTTTCTTGATGCTGAAAAATGACTGGAAATCCAAAAAATGAAGGGTACTTTATGACTGTGGCACAGTACTGTACACTGATGCATGTGTAGTTAGCGGTGCTTGGCATTTACATTCTAGTCAGCACAAACAAATGGATAGTACATAGTGGAGAACCCCCACAATATAGCGTAGCACATACGCAACATCAAGATTTGATTCTAAGCAAGAATCACTGCTGTATCAACAAGAATATACACACAGAGCTATGATAATATGAGTATCTGGGCAAAACTCCTCTGACATTACACTCTTGATAAAATCATCAGGAGTGTTTTGCTTATTGGCCCCTAATCCATAGTAAAAAAAAAAAGAAAACTCAGACTTTATACTTAATGTAGATGGGATGACTGTTATCTGTGATCCATTTCTTAACTTTGAAGCCCACTTTAGGGCAGTGGTCCCATCTATGTAATATTGCACTTCTTTGGCCCATGCTTATCGTGACAGATGCAGAGGCTGTGGTCCATGCCTTAATTTCATCCTGTTTTGACTAATTCAGCTCTCGCTTTAATGGCATTCCTGTTAAAATCTTATGTCCTCTACAATATTCAAAACGCAGCTGCTGGAGTTCTTTCACACTACTCATGTCACCCTGTCTTTTATTAGTTACACTGGTCTCAATGTGCTGTAAGTTTAAACTCCTCGCTCTGCCCTACTTAACCAAGCTTCTCAATCCCTACACCCTCGCCCACACTCTCAGGTTGTCTGACATTCCAGTTTTCCAGTTTTCCTTCCAGCTGCTAGATTTAAGTTAATGTTTTTTTTGGACTATACAGCAGCCTTGGGTTTGAGAAATGCATTATGTAAATTTAACTTCTTCTTTTTCTTCTTCTACTTTTTCTTCTTCTTCTTCTACTTTTTCTTCTCCTACTTTTTCTTCTTCTTCTTCTACTTTTTCTTCTTCTTCTTCTTCTTCTTTTTATTATTATTATTGAAACTTACACTACATGTGTTTTATTCCCCAGTAATCTTATTACCCAGTAACAACTATCAGTTGTTTGGTAATATGCAATGGGTGGTAACACTAAAAAGCAGCATTCATAAGAATACATGACATCCTGTATAAGCCTTTTATGACTGACATAACCCTTAATTTCACACGCAATTCTTATAATATCTTTCACAACTTATACATTTAGTATTAGCTGTTGCATTGCAAAATTACTAACTCTAGTACTTCGCAAAGACCGCACTAAATTGTTGCCAAAAGCAGCATTTATGATGCTTGTTGGAGTAGATCTTATGTTTTATGTTTAGGACAGTTTAAGTTGTCTTTTAGCCATATGAAGGCTCCCCTTCAATAAGGTGTTACCTAAAACTGACCACTGATCCTTCCTGAAAGTTTTAACATCACTGCACTTCATAAATGAATTACTAATTCATTTTGTCTGAGAGATGCTGCTCTAACAGACAGTCAGGTTTAGGAGCACTTCAGGAATGTTTGTATATCTGTGTGTGTGTGTGTGTGTGTGTGTAAATGTGTGTGTGTGTGAGATTGTGTGTGTGCCCACTTCCGTGCTTGTTCACTGCAGGAAGTGTGATGTGTGTTCTGAGACAGACTTAAAGAAACTGCTGGGCTTTTGATATTGAGAATAAAGGGGGTCTGAGGAACATAACAAAACAACCTCCAGGGTTAAAACAGGCGTCAGGCAAAGGTGCGTGCATGTTTACAACCACCTCTTACTCTTCTTTAACATCGTACACCATGAGTTCATGACGGCATCAGAACTCACTGCAGTTTATTCCATTCACAAGACTGTGACCTTCCAGCTCACATGCAGTCCTTCAAAAGCCTTCAACGAAAAATAATCTGATAGCATAATGGATAACACCCATACCCTGAAGACAGATGATCAATGGTTAAATTCCTCATCCAGACAGGAATGCCACTGGTATTGGATAAGAATTCTAATGCTTGGATAAGAATTCTAATGCTTCATCTCTGTAAACGTAAGAAAAGACAGTGTAAAGGACTTTTCACAGCAAGTCCATTGTTTTGGAAAAAAAGCCATTTTTAAAGTAGTAAAACCTACACAAAGCCAAGGCACTTCTTTTTTAAACACTCTGGTGGGAATGTGTGAAGAAGATGATAAAAGAAAGTGATATTGACACAACTGTTGCATAGTACAGTATCATAGTATTGATAGTATTCCAATGACTTCACAATTGCGCCACCACTATTTTAGGAAGCAACATCAAAGTTCGTTCAGCAGTGCTGTGGTGGCTGTAATGAGATAAAGCCATATTCAACCCAAAGGCAGTAAAGCACTTTTTTAGATCCCTTTTTTAGAATTTCATTATCAAAGCATATTAACTGATATGTTTGAGTGCAGTACCCTAATTTTATTTGATTTGTTGCTGTAATGATGACAAATGAAAGCTGATATCTAAACGGCTGAGATTTCCCGCTGCATTACTAGTGTCCCGTCCCAAACCACATACTAGCACACTAAATAGTGTGTAAAAATAGTACATATACCATCAGAAGTGCACTCATTAGTGTAGTAGGTAAAGTACAGAAGTACATGGTTCGGGATGCGCCGTTCGTTCACCCAGTGAGATGTGTTTAAAAGCTGCTTTGCTTTGCTGCACGTGAGCTTCTCATTAAACATTTCCAAGACAAATTTTAAGGTATTTGTTGATGAAGAACACATTTATTGACATAGATTAATGCATTTATTGAGCTGATATTGGCTTCATATTGGCCACCTTTAGTAATTTGTTCTACGTTTAAGGCACCTCAGTGTAACTACAGCACCATTTAAGGTGGAATAGCAATTCAAATGAGAAGCTGCCGAATAAGAAGCTGACTTCATCTTTTTAAAATGAATTTACTATTTAAGAGCTTTGGCAGCCACTTTTATTAGTTTTTGTAAAATGTCACGGATTGGAATGTTCTGAACTCTGAAGATGTGCAGGCTATACAGATCCAGTCTACCAGTCTAGCTAATCTTCTATAGACTACATTTAAAGTGTCCACAGATTTTTTTCATGTTTTTCATGGTCATTCTGATCTGTTTCTGCTTTGCTTTTGGTCTTGAGCTCACTGCAGGGTTGTAACTGCACTAATGGTGATGAGACAAGCTCTATCAGCGCACAGTTAGAGTTACAGCCTGCCTACCAAAACGGCAACGTGGGCTTCTTAATGATACAGTCGGATACTATGAATTAGTTTCTTCAACTCATAAGTATTTTTTTCTTGATTGACACATTGTTTAGTTTTGGGTTTTAAAACATGGTCCTCACATGGTGCTGTTTCAGAAGTTCCTGTCACTTAAACCAAGTGATCAAGACAAGCAAAGAATCCATTGTGCTTCTGTGGCAGCTCACAGTGAGGAGACCACAAATGTCTCACAGAGAGGACACTGTGATTCTAAAAGCAGATAACTATGGTGAGTTATGTGAGAAGAATTGCAAAATCCAGAGATATTTTTCTAGGTTCATTTTGTCTGAAGGGAACTACGTCTCTATTCAGTTCAAAGCTTCTTATCAGCATGACATTTTAACAAGCTCATTAAACCCTTAAATTGAGAGCTGTATTGAAGGTATACAGTGGATAAAAGTATTAAAATCACACCATAATTAGAAAAACAGGTAAATAACTGATTTGATTTTGAAGAGCTAGTCTGTTTATCCCTGAATCTGGATCGTCCTCCTAAACATAAAGAGCTTTATAATGCTGCGTGGATCAGAGTAATCCAAAAAAAAATAGAAAACACTGTGCTTTATCCAGAGTGCTGCTGCCCAGAAGGCAAAGAGCAACAATTTGTGACAGGAGAACATATGGCCTCGTCTATCTCCCCAGCATTC